TTATTTTCAGGTCAAAATCATGGATTTTTTACTTAAATTAAATAGAAACATATCCTAAGGTTACTCAACTTTTAAACTCTGTCTTACACAGGCTATTGTTCATTGTGGTACCAGCGACGAATACCAGGGCCTCACACATATTAAGGAAACGGTCTACCACCAAGCTATATCCCCTTCCCTTTTTAAAAACTATCTTATTTTGAGACAGAGTCTCGCAAAATTGCTAAGCTTCTTGCCCCATCCTGCTGAGTACCTGAGCCCACAGGTACATGCCTCCATACCTGGCTCTGTGCAGTGTTATAGAGAATAATGTTCTAGTATTTTCTTATATAGCTGAGCAACATTTAGGATAAAAATAAACACATCTGTGATAAAAAAAAATAAATAAATAAAACTCTAAAGATCCAACAGTTAATAATTTTGCCCAAGGTAGAATAAGGTCAGAGTATTCTGCAAAATTGAATCACGACTGTTTTACTGGCACAAGTAATCAATACTTCCTCAAACCAATTGTCATAAACAAACAGATTTTTCAAAGGTAGTATTATTTCCTGGTCTTGGGTCTTTCTCATCTATATACCTATATATGTGCTCCAAATCCCTTCGCGTACAGCTCATGCTGCATCTTCCTACACCATGCAAGCATTCAGACATTCCTGACACATCACCACAGGATGAAGACTCCTGATGTGAGCCTAGAAATGCTACCTATCTCCCACACGGTTTATAACAACACCGTTGTGTACTGGTTGTAACCGTAGTTCTAAGGACGTTTACACGGCCTCAGTTCACAATCCAAGTCTAATTACCACCCCATAACCTCTGAACAAACCAAGACTGAGTTTATGATGACTCAACACTATGCTTAAACCAAATATAAACCCTGTTGTGAAGAATGTACATACAATGAATGCTGTTGCCCTGGTAGTATGTCCTGACAGTAATATTTTCTCTGAAACAAAAATTACTACATACATTGCAAACTAGAGTGCTTGGGGGGGGGGGTAGTGATGTAGAGAACATTACAACATTACATATAAGAAAAATTTTAGAGGGCAACATGGTGGTCATGTCTTTAATCCCAGCTTTTGGGAGGCAGAGGCAAGTGGATTTGTTTAAGTTCAAGACTAGCCTGGACTACATGGTAAGTTCCAGGTCAGCCATAGTTATATAATGAGAGTCTGTCTGGAAAAAAAAAAAAAAGTTACACTCAATTAAATCACTATCATAGAAACAAAAATCATGAAATACATAGTCTCAAGAACTTAGCTGATTCTTCAGGACTACGACATAACTCACATCTTCCAAACAATGGCTACACACCACATACATTGAAACATATTTCCTGATACAGAGCAGGTCTCCCTGGATTACATGCTGAGAGGGGACTGGGGATCTACACTACTCTCATGACTGGGTTGCTGGTCCCTGTCCAAGCTGGCAGCCATGCCGCGCTCTGGCTTTATTACTGGTCCCTTTGTCACTGTCCTTCTAGCCACCAACTTATCTTTCCTCTTCATCATTTTGCCTTCGTTTCCTTCTCTTCTCAGCTAGCAAACAAAGGGGGCCTACTTCACAGGTACAAGCATCCAATCAATACCTTTTTCCTTTCAATTAAAGAATAAAACAACAAAGTGAAGCAGGGAGATCTTTGGTTTCTCTGAGTTGTTTTCATCATAATCTGATACTGAAAGTTTTGTTCATTGTACAAGAAAGACTACAGTTCTGTTTTTCCTTTCTGTTTAATTTCTAAGTATGGGATGATTGTAGCTAGCTAGCCTGCAGTCATTTGAGGGTTTTTACCATTATAGACCTTTGGGGTTAAAAAGAAAAAAAAAAATGGGTGTTTGCCATCTTAAAAGGTAGTCAAATACTTTAAAATATCACTTAAAATTAAATAATATTTAATTTTATATAATTAAAATTATTTTTTTATTAAAAAATTAAAAATACTTAAAATTAAATCTCAAAAAGTTTTACTAAAATCAGATCTTAAATTAACAAGCTCAAGAGATAGGTCAGTGCCACAGCATCTGTCTAGCATGCATAAGGCGCTGGTTCAATCCCTAGCATCACACCTTCCCTCCAAAAGCTGGGAATGGTTACCACCCCTGCCAGCCTATAATCTCAGTTATGTGTGGAGCTGTGGTAGAAGAATCATGAGTTTGAAGTCAGCCTGATTGCAAAAAGTATTCCCAACAACTCCAAAGAAGACATGTGGCCAAAAAACATGGTCGAAAATATTTAACATCAATTATTATAGGGCTGTGAATCAAAAGGACAGATAATGCTATATAGTGATGACTATAGCAATTACTGTTTTAAAAGGTTTGGTCAAGAGGTGGAGAAATATTCTGAACACTGTGGGGAACATAGAGCCCTGTGCATTGCCGGTAGAAAGAAAAATCAGGGAGTCATTGTGGCAAACAGTACAGCAGTCCCTTCAAACCTCAGACAGAATTATAAATAGCTGTGTCACCATAACAAACACTAAGGTAATCAACACAAAAGAGAAAAGGTTCCCAATGTCAGAGGTTTCAGTACAACTTTGGTTGACCCTGTTGCTTTTGTACCTGTGCAATGGTGCACATTATGGTGGGAGCAGAAAGGAGCATATGACACAGCAAACTGCTCATTTATTAGCCAAGAAGCAAAAGGAAGAAGGGGCTAAGGCAGCACTACCCCCTTCAAGGTTATGCCCTCAATGGGCTGAAACCTCCAACCAGGACCCACTTTTTCCCCAGAGCACTTCTCTAAGAACCAAACCTTAAGATAGGAATATTCAAGATACAAATGATTCCAAAACACCATGTAATCAATCCGTTTCATTTATGAAAACATAACCTGAAGAAATGACAGTAAGACAAACGTTTATGCACACAGCAGCATCATTTACACTAGCCCAAAACTAAAAGCAACCCAAGTGTCCCCAGGTAAAAGGTAATACGTGTATACAGTGATTATTATAGTCAGCTTTTAAAGGACGACATTCTGACATATGCAATAACACAGTTGAAACTTGGGGACATTATTCTGAGTTAACTAAGGACAAATGTTGTAACTAAGTACACTCATATGATAAGTCCACAGCGTCAGAGTCACAGACACAGAACCTCTGCTGCTAGGGGGCTACAGGTAGTTGGTAATGAGGAGTTTGTGTTTATCAGGTCCAGAGTTTCATTTAGGGAAGGTGAAAAGTACTAAAGACAAACGGCAGAGATGGCTACACCACCATGTGAGCATATGCTGCGCCACTAAACTGAATCCTTGAAAGTATTAAGATGCTTTATGTTTGGTACATCTTACTATAGTGATAAAGTAAATGAAAAGTAAAATTGGTATAGAGAAGTATTTAAATGTTGGCGCTATCGGACAAACTCAATCTAACAAAAACAAAGGCAACACACATTACATTTGCTGACTTAATATTGGTAATTCTGTTGGAGCTCAATAAACAGCATGAAAACACCTTCAATGTGTACTGACCCAAATTCTTCTCACCAAGTTAAGTTGCCAGTCAGTAAATAGGTTCTCTCAAGAACATAACGAATCACTCTGCAGACAAGTGGTAACAAGTGTTTCCGCCTTAGAGCCTGTGTAGTCCGCTAAAACATACCCCACAGCCGCAGAGTGCAGCCCTCCCTAAACTCAGCCCTCTGCTCAACTAGCCCTTTACAAAGAGCCTGCCCACCTTCTCAAACCCAGCCCTCCCATCAGTCTCGTCTCCACACACACACACACACACACACACACACACACACACACACACAC